ATTGTGTGTCGTCGCCCTTGTCTTCCTCATTCATTTTTCCATGTGTTGCATATATCAAAAATGAAATTATTGATTGACAAGTGTCCTCAACCCTTTCCTTTGCCCACAGGCATGAGCAAAAGGTGAAAGTGAAAACAACTGCTTCCATTGTTGTTTGTCTCTCTTTTTGTTTGTGCAAAACAATTTAACAATTTATGTGTAAATTTTCACAACGGAAGTTGTTGAAACTTATGTGTAGTGGGGCCACCAGAGCGGCAATAGCAAAAACAACAACTAAAACTGCGGCAAATAATAGCGCTATAGTTAAACTTATAAGGTCAGTGTCATATTTGGTCAGCTAGTCGAGCATATTTCTAACGAGCAGATGAGTCACATCATACACACGAGATACAGATACGGGAGATACAGATACAGATACTTTCATTCATAGTCAACACTTTCCCTAGAAGATTGTTGTAGAACAAAAGAAAGAAAGCTTTAAATGCGTATTGTTTACTAGCAAAATCTGGTTCAAGTGGTTGACTCATTTTTAGTAGCATTCGTTCGTTCAGAACATATACTCCCCTTTGATCATGAGACCTATGTTTAGTTTTCTACGAATTGATGAATAAACAGACCACAAACTACCAATTCTCGTCTAGCTGAAGCTCTAATTATATGTATTTAATATCAATTTGCATGCCTGACATCACCACCATAATTCTAACTTTACCTTGGCTACTGAACTTTAATCTGAAAAAGAAATTCCACTTTTATGAGACTCTCTTGCTCAGAATTCATTTCAAAACTCAACGTTTTCTATGCCTTCAAGCGTTGTGTTAAATAAAGAAATGTGAAAGAAAGAAGTTAACATCCTTTTATCAGTCAATTATGATTAATAAACGCAATCAGAGAGATTAGCTGGTAAGTGGGGAAAAAAATTCTCAGACAAATCTAATCAAAGTTTATTGCTTCATATAGAAGGAACACCAAGTAACAAGTACTTAATAATAAGAAATACAAGGTATTTAGTAGCAACATGGTTATAGCTTTTTACAAGTAGTAAGTGCGATTAGCTTAGGGGATTTCTTAGGGGTTATTCCATTATTGTAGCTTCAGAAATCATACAATTCCTTTAGTTTAAAGTCTTGAAACTATAAATTTAATTGTAAACTTGTTTTTCTTAATATACTTATTATTTTCAGTTAGTTTTCTTAATAACAATATGAAATTTTAGTCAGTTTTCAGGTCTACTTGGTATAATCCAATTATCATGCTTAAAAAATCTGTATTTGTTAAAGAATTTTAGTTATTTCAAGAACTTTATGAATATTTTCAGGTAATATATTATATTTTGCATTTTCTCTTGTTTTATTAAACCCCTAAAAGCTTTCCTTTGAAGTATGAATAAAGAGTGGGTAAGAAAATGTAATGGGTTCCTAATGAGCTATATAAGTTTGTGTGTGTTTATTTCGGTTTATCTAGGGAGAATTTTTAATTATTGGTTGAGCGAAAAAGGGCTAATCAGGCGGAAAAGCATGGCCATAAGCAAAATTTTTGGAATATTTTGTGTGTTGGGTGCGTCGGGTTTTAGCTTGTTGCTAGGACAAAAGCCATTCAAAGAGCCGGGTCCGCACGTGGGTCACCTCTCTTTGGCTCTCTCTTTCTCTCACTCACTCTCTCCCCCTGTTTCTCTTTTGGGCACACGCCCAAAACAACAACGGTGGTGCGAATGAATAAGTGAGGATAAACAGAAAGAAATAACGTGGGGAAAACAAAAACAAATCGAATGGGTTCGCAAGAAGTTCAAGAACAAAATAAAACTTAACACGAATTTCCCTCTGCTTTTATTCTTTTTTTTTTTTGCGGCTGAAACGAACTTAATTAAATATGCAAATAATTTGCGTGCCTTCGTGGTTGTTTTCTTTTTTTTATGCTCTGATTATATTGCATAATGCACGATATTCGGAGATTAATGCGATTTGTAAGTCACAGAGAAACGAAAAACTGGGACTCGGTCACATCCGAAACTCATTTATTTCATTTATTTATCGGGGGAAACTTGATTTGAAATTCATTTTCGATCAAGGTTGTGAGAAAGCAGAAAGAAAAACAAAAATATACAAGAAAATGAGAAAGCAAATTAATGTGGAAAATTAATGATTGAAAGCGAATTGATCAATCATTGTGGGATGGGTATTGAAAATTGATCAAAATACACCCGTATCCTCATATGAGTAAATTAATAATTAACGTTTGTAGAGATCATGGGGGAATCATTAATCACCACGATACCAACAAGAGGGCGTATTGTCTTTTTTATGTGAAAAATTCTCACTTTAATTATTTTCAGGAAAATGTGTTGTTTTATGAAGGTTGCAATTAAAGATACATAGTCAAACAGCAGTTTTTCATCAAATAATAACTACTACTCTACATGTTTTATCTTAATTAGAAAGAATTTAATAACCTTTAACCTCTCCAATTTATATTTGTATAGTAAACAAAATGATGTACATATAATTAGTTTAATACATGAAACCTATACCACTTTGGTTTACATTTATTGATTTTTACCAATTATAATTGAATTGACATTTATAAATTCCAACGTAACAACAACAATTTTAAACCCACCCCCAAAAACCAATCAATTCCCACAAAAAATGTACTAAATTAAGCATTTGTTATGCCCATTAAGCCAGCAAAGAGATATAATCGCTATCATTAAACATTTATAAAACCAAAATAATGGCTGTGATTTTACCTCCATATTTTTTCTCCTCAAAATTTTCAGTTATTTTGAAATTTCGCCTCTTCTCTAAGCTAACAAACCTCTGGACAGATAGCATCTTTGGAATGCGTTAATCTGCTCTCTTATAATCCATCTCCAACCCACCACCCACCTGCCTGTTGACGTCATCATCACCGGCTGATGTCTAGGTCTTCGCACTCTGTTCAGCTCTCAAAACGCCTAATATATACATATATAGGTATGAAGATATATATTCAGAGATTGCCTGTGTGGGCAAAGGCAAGTGTTTGTGGCGCCGTTGGCAACAAAGTGTGGAGAAATGGCTTTTTCATGCTCTCTGCCAATTTCCAAACAAATTCTAAACATTTTGGGCAATTGGGAATTTTTCAATGAACTATTTGATATGAATATACAAATATGTATGTATGTATATATAATTATATGCCTGCGCCCAGAGTCTCATAAATTAAATCATCAGTTGTCACAGACCAAAAGAGATTATTTGCTGGGAAATGAACAAAAAAAAAAAAACAAAAAAAATAACCAGAAAAGAGAAGGTTGATCTGCACACGAAATTAAAGAAATAATATAAACACAGCCCCAAAAATAGCTGCCAAGCGAACGAGTGCGAGCGAGAAGGTTACACAGAAAAAAAAAAATACAAAATGTCAGTCTAATATGTGTTTGTAGGTCAATGTTTCTTATTTAAAGATTGATTTTGAAGTATTAATACCATAGATTGGGAAGAGAAAATATCATATTTTATTAAAGTAATAATAATAATGAATTCATTAAAAAAAGAAAGACTCCGGCTTGATATATTAAGTAAGTAAAAAGACGACTATGTAAAGAAACTGATAAACCTATTGTAAAATCAGCAAGCAGGATAGGATATAGAACTATTTTCAAAGGGAGTTACCTCTTCCTTATCAGTATCCTCATTTTTTTATGGAATTTCCTTCATTTGGGTACTAAAAACACCGGAAAACAAGTACTCATTGTAATTATACAGAAAACTTCTTACTTTTAACTAATAGAATATCAATGCTGCTAATATTTAATTGTTTTATACTTAATTTCAATTTCTCTCAGTGCTTATATTGCCGCACTAAAAATGACAATTCTTTTCAGTCCGCTTACATTTATTATTACCGTTTGAATTTAATTCAATTGCAGACGAAAACGTGTTGTTGTAGGATCAACCGTGCCTGTCTCCGACCAACAACAAAAGCGACAAAAGATAATAATAATACTAATAATAAACAGGAAGAAGAGGCTTTCAAAGGCAAGACACAAACTTTGCTAAAGATCCCACAGAAGAAATATATGCAGCTAAGTGAATTGATCAAGACATAGCTTCGCTAGCGATATATGTATGTACATATATACATCATATCATATTTGTTCGTTTTGTGTGGATAGTTGCCAAGCCACAAAACGCATTTCTTCACTGCAATGAATTGAATTGAAGTTGTGATTAACTTTAATTGTGTTATGCAGATGTCAGCGGGGGACGGGAAGCGGCGAATAGTTATAGTAATCAAAGTGCAGTCGCCTCGCCAAAGCAGCGAAAGCTATCCAGGAGCGGAGTTACGGAGCTTGGGTTTTTTTGTTTAAGTTCCCCAACTCTTGATAGGATCTCAAAATAACTTAATTGCCATTTCAACGCCACCTATTGTTGCTTGAATAACCACATTGAAGGCATATAATAGTCATTACAGTAATCAATTTAATTATTCGATAATGTAGAAGGTTTTTTATATTTTTATACCCTTCTAAGGGTGTTATTATTATAGTCAGAAGTCAAAAGGAGTCATTTCCGACCCTATAAATCATATATATTCTCGATCAGCATCAACAGCTGAGTCGATCTAACTATAATCGGTATAATAAATTTTCGAAACTTTTCAAAATTATTAAGGAGTTAATATAGTTTAAATTATCAAAAAAAGGGAAAAAATGGAATTTTAAATTGAGTATTTTAATTAAAAAAATAAAATTTAATAACCTTAGAAAAACTAACCTAGCAACGCTTTCCGAATAAACATTACATTAGATATATTTTTTACTGGTCAAAAACTGGAACGTTCTTTTCATCAAAACGCTGGAGCAATTGTTCAAAAAAATACAACCTTAAAACAAAAAGAACTAAACCAACACACGCACACGTCCGTGGGCCGCAAGTACGTGAGCGTGTGGGTGTGGTTGTGGCCTGTGACTTAAATAAGCAACTTTGAACTATAAACAATTTTCGGCACGCACTCACCTTTGCAACAACAACAATAACGACGGCGACAGCAGCGGTTTTAACGGTAATGCATCCACCCCGCTCCGCTTTCTTTCCACTCTCCTCTGGGCGTCTCTATCTCTTTTACAGCCGTCTCCTCGCCTCTCCCTTTTCGCTTTTGTAGTTTTTGGCTGCTGCAGCTCTTGATTTTTTATGCACACATAAATTTTCAATCTGCGCGACGCCCTTTTTTTTCGTTTTTCTTTCTCACAAAACTAAACAACAACTATCGCACACAAAACACACACTCAAGCAAGCAGCTAGACACACGCGCGTTGTTAACAACAATTTGGCTTTTCACTCTTTGTGTATTAGATATTCCTCCTCAACTTCGATTCCACTAACCGCTTTTCCTGTGGCGGAAAGTCTTTGCGCGACGGGGCAATTATTTATTATTATTTATTATTCAGCATGCACACTTGCGTCGTCCCCCGTTTTTTTCTTACTTATGTTTTTTGTTTTGTTGAAAATGCCAAAATATATGAGGCGAGTGATATTTGATATTTTTTGAAAATGTTTTTGGTCACTCTGAAAGCTGAAGCTGTTACTTAACATTTTACATCTCACGCGTCTTTAATGTCATTTGACATGTTTAAAGATATATGAGGTCGAATTTTCACTTATGGGGTCTAATTTGTAACATAACCGCTCTCTTCTCTTTCGGGTGCTGTCGGGTGGATGTTAATTAACAAAATCCTCTCTCAGGTGCTGTCTGATCACTCTAAATTTATTTAACATTTTATAAAATTCTCATTCATTAACAGAATTCTCTCTCGGGTGCTGTCGGGTGGATGTTAATTAACAGAACTCTCTAGGGTGCTGTCGGGCACGATACAATTAATATGTATCACGCTGTAGGGTGTTGGTTCGAAAAAATACCACTGTTAATGGAGTGAATTCAGCTGGTCACTCTTAATTAAATATTATCGTAAGAAAGTTACGTAGGTTAACATCAAGTAACCGTTTTACGTAAGGAAATGCATGTTTAGTTAGAATTTCTTATTCATGGTAAATAGTATCACCAATAAGACTCGTAAGCCCCCATGATTTCGAAATTTCCAAAATTTGCTAGGAAATTTGTGATTTTACATGATTTTCATTACCAAAGGTTTGAAACTTTGCTGACACAAACTACGTAAAGCAAAAATTCTATATGGGTTAAACGGATGGTATTCATTAAGGGACAACAAATCCTTTTTAAACATAAAAATTATTATGAAACATTCATTATGATTGATAATATAATTTAAGTATAATAATTATAATTATAATTAATTAATAATTAATTGTTTGTTTTCCCTTCCTTATTTGTCCCACAAAAATTCTTCAGTTTTGCAACTGCAGTACGTGCAAAATGCCTGTTTCTGTAAAGGTATTTTTATGTTTATTTTTTTAATTGAGAGAAAACTATTTTATATTTCTTTAATATTTTCCACTTTATTGTTAATTTCAGCATAATTGTAGAACAATAGTTTACTTAATGGGCAAATATCAGTTACGAACCTATACAAGGCGAGTATATTTCAATACTTTGCATTTTGATATAGAGATTTTCGTGAATCCACTGCACGATTCAATAAAATGCATTGTAGTATTAGACACTTCATTCTTAACAATTTTAAGCTTACCCTTTAACTCATTATAATATATTTCTTTATAACTTCGAAGATTTTAACTTGGTAAGGTATGCCGTCCAACTGGCAGATTCGATTCAAAACTGCTTTGTCAAACTAGTACTACTTATTACCGACAGTTTCACTGCTTTCTCAAATTGGGAGCTCTGTTACCGACACTCTGTAAACGTGTAAAAATTTATCTGTAAACAAGTAAAATGTAAATTTTAAGATATTTCTAGCTAGAAAATAGCTCTGTTGACAAGTGAATCGATTAAGTTATTGATAAAAAGCAGGCAGCCTTCGTGCGTGAAATTAACTTAAGGAAAAAGAGTGCAAAAGGAAATTCAAGTTAATAAGTGTTTAGGTCTAGTACCAATAAAAAAACATCGATAGTGCAAAAATATCGATGTTCTGAAAATAAAATCTTAAACATCGATAGTGATCCGACTAGCATTAACAGAAAAATGCGGGTGAATTGAAATTATGTTAACTCTCTTTTTTCAGTTCTCCCGCAAAATTCTGTTAATTCTCTCTTTCTTCATTTCACCAGCAATATTCTTTTAACACTCTAATTTCTTTAAATTCACCTGCAAAATTCTGCTAACATCTCTTATTTGTTTTAATTCACGCGCAAAATACTGTCAACTCTCTTAGCATAATTAGTGTGACCAGCTGTAAATAGCTATCGCCCCACTGATACCGATATCGATAGTACATTCGAATGCAATCGAATATTCTTAATAGCCAGAAAGAAAGATATCGATAATCACGGTCTCCATTGCAATTGTTGTTGGAATTTTGGCTCGTCGCGGTCGTGTGTGTCTGGTGTACTGAGAAAAAATACATTTTAGGGCCGCAGCCTAACGAAAAGTTCGTGTAATTATTATACAATGCTCGTATTTGTATTCGCGCATCAAATCGAAATAGGCTAAGCCGTGCTATCTAACCACATATGTACGAAAAAGTTAGCTGAATTACGTGAGTAGAGGCCCTGTATGCGTGTGTGTGCCAGAGCGAGGCGGCAAATCAGTGCGGCGTGAAAGAGGGAGCAGAAAAAAATAAATTGCTGTAAATGCTTCTCGACGAGTGTCTGTGCGCGTGTGTTTTAAGTGTTCCCGTGTGTGTGTGCTAAAACAAATGCTTAAATTGCAACAAAGAAAATTGTATAAAGTGTACGAAGCAAAGCCCAGAGCGAAAGCGACGGAGGAATAAAAGAAAAGAGGCTGCTTGAAGAAGAGAAGAAGAAGAATTAGCAGCCGCCGCGAGTTTTTTTGCGCGCGCGTGTGTGTGTGGTTGTGTGCATACACATATTTATATATTTGTGTACATGTGTATATAAAGAAAAAGAAGCAGCTGAAAGTCATAAAAAAAGCGATTTCGAGTGTCTAAATGTAATCTTTAATTTCCCGATTTCTTGCAGCGCCTACCAACGAAAATAATAAATAGTATAAATAATATGTATAAGATTAATACAAGGTTAAATATAGTGCTTAAACGGTGAACATTGCGGTTTCAAACGTCTTTTTTGCATGTCTTCCTCACCTCCGTGTTTTTTAACCAACAAAAACCCACAACAGCAATAACAACAACACCAACGAATGGATTGAAATAAAAAAACAAGCACTTTTGAGAGCGTGAGAGAGCGAGGCAGAGTAGCAAAAGCAAAAAAGAGAGGCGTCGGCTAACAGCTTATCATTTGACAAAGCACGAGCAAGAAGCAGAAGCAACAGAAGAAGGAGAGGGAAAGGAGACGGAAAACCAAAAACGCTGATTGCGCTGAAATGTGAGTAATCTTATTAAACCAAAAAAAAAAAAAAAAAAAAAAAAAGACAAAGACACGAACTTAAAACTAGGAAAATTGTAATTGCAATTCTTAAATTGCACAAAAGTGTGAGAAAATGTGTGTTTACTGTTTGCGTCACTATTCTATTTGCCATTTGTGTCTGATAAGAGCGGAAGTGCAATTGAAAGACCTTGGGAACCGTTTATTTACAAACTTACTTATCTATCGGCTTCGCTTTAGCCGGAAACTGTGGAAATTGGGCCAGTTAATAGCGACACATTTCAGTGCTTAAATCTAAATGTAAATAAAGACTAGGAAATAACATACATAATAATACATATATTTAAAAATATCTTGAACAAAAGAAAATTGCTAAGAATAGAACAAAAAATTCAACTAAAGTTTATTTGAAAAATTTCTTTGTTGCTAAAATATGTTGAATATTTTATAAAGGCTATTAACTATCCTTGAGTATTTTCTTAAGGATTTTCTTTCCCAGTGTTCCAAGAAAATGCCTTTATCAAAGTAAAAGTAATTTTATTTGGGCCCCTGGCAATCCAATAGGAATTCCGACAGTTACAGCCAAGTTAGGTATCTGGTTTGGATGTTCTGCCATCAAAAGTTATGCATGCCGTCAGTCAAAGTCTATAAAAACCAATTAAAAGAACCAAAACACAAACGAAAATGCCAACGGACTCGTAAATAGAAAATAGGAAAAAAATATTCTCTTTCTTATGGGGCCAAAGGCTAGAAGCCGAAAACCAATTATGGCCAACTAGTTGGACTTCTTTTTTGGAGGGTTAAGATATACATTTGGCCAATACGAATCTTTAAGCCTAAATCTAGGACCCTGGATTTCTCTGTCAATTAAAAGTTTTCTTTGCCGTTTTCTGTCTTCTTCCTTAATTCCCGTTTGCATACACAGAAGGTGGAAGGAAGGAAGAGACAAATAAGGAAAATAAAGACAGTAATAAGAAAAAAAAGGTGAGCTTCCAGAATTAAATTCTCTTCAGATTTTCCTTTGAGTTGCAAAAATTCCAAAGGTGCATACTAAAAACAGCACACTTTTAATAGAAAAAAAACTGTCCGAAGAGAAATCATTAAAAACAAAAGGGGAATAAAAAAAATCGAAAAACGTGGCAAACTAAACAAAAATAAGTTGCTCTGTTTGTTGTTGCTGCTGTTGCGGCGGCTGCATTGGATACACAAAAACAAACACACACGAAAAAAATAAAAACAGACATCTCTTTTACTTCCCACTTTATCTCCTTCATGTCTGTTGTTGTTTTTTCCATTGCACTCCAATCTGCTGCTGCTTTTTCTAGCTCCATTCGGCCTCTCGCTACATCTTCTTCTGGCTCTTCCTTCTTCTCCCGGCATATGTATGCATGTAAAACAGCGGCAGAAGAAGAAGAAGACGGAAAAGATACCGTTGCCAGTCAGCCAGTGGATTGTATTAGTATTTTTATTTTTATTTTTTTTTCTGTATGTGCTTTTCTTGTCTCCATCACTTTTTTGTGCTCTTCTTTGCCTGTGCCTTCCGCTTCTCTTCCTGGTTGAGTCTTTTTCTCTTTGGCAGATTACAACGTTACATTTTGGCGCACTACTTTGTCCCCCAATTTGCATCAATTTGGTTTCTGTAAGGAAATTGTGAAAATGGGGAGAATATATTCAGATATTCAAATATAACTGGGAGTTTGTTAACTCTTACAGGGTTTCTTTAGTCAGAATGAAATCCTTAAAATCATATAGTTTCTCTATTGTTTAAGTTATATTTAATAATTCTGTTCTGTAACTATTTTATGGACATTTAAAATGTTTTAGACTGATAAAAAGTTTTACATTTTAAACACATGTTTATAAAATCCATGATTTTCCATTTTCTATTTGTGACCTTAAAATATTCTGAATGGAAATGGTAAATAGTCTCCCCCAAGAGGAATTTTCTGACACCCCAGAGATATATTTTAGATTATTTCACACTCTTTGTTCAAATTCTATTATTTTAGATGCTTAGATATACCTATGTATCTTTGTATCCATTGCATCAGCATCCGCAATTGGCTGTTTATCTGTATCTGTGTAAGACCAAAATAGTTGCATTTTGGAGGTCTGCACTTTCATGGCGGAAAAATGAAAAGCGAAACAATGCCATAAATACAACAAATATGCCACGCATACACATACACGCTTACAAAGACTGACTGTAACAAAAATAGATAAATAAATTCGGAAAAGAACAAGGAAAAACTTTTACAAAATGTGAATGTGCAATGGGGATTCCGGATTTCGGGGAGCCGTGGAGGCGAGTGTGGTAAATGGCCTGCTGTAAAATGTTGTTGACTGTTTAGAATTTAAACTTAAATATAGAACCGAAAAGTTCAAACGCAGCTGCAGCACCAAGCGGAAAATGGGAATAGAAACTATAGAGAAAATGGGGAAAAACTGGGAGTGGAAAGATACACAAACATACATGTATAAATATTTAAAATCAGAAGCTAAGGAAATTGGTTTTTATATAAGTTTCGTGAGCTTCGATCTTCTTCACTATTCCTATCTCTTGTGTTTTTTAATCTATCTTGGCCTCTTTCATCATGTGTGTGTATTGCTTTTTTTTATTTTGACAGTTGAATGAACCCAAGCATTTATTATAAAAAAAACCCAGAAAGACAAAAAACTAAATAAAAGCTAAATACACACAGGCACACACAATAACAAACAGAAAGAGCATACAAGATAAACGAAAAGCAATACATTGGAGGTCAAGATAATAGTGTGAAAGTGATTTAAGAAAGTTTCTAACTGCAACTATTTTTTATTTATTTGAAATATCGCTTACTGGACTATATATGATTTTAACAATAAGGTTAATTATGCATTTATGTTGGAAGCAGAAACCCTAATTTGTTACCAGGTTCCATTTTTGGAATAAAACAATGTACTTTATTTTTATAAATGAAATTGAATTTATTAAATAATCAAAAGTATTTTTAATGAGTTCTGTTCATCCAAGAAAACTATCCAAAAACTATCTGAAACTATTATTTTGACCTTAACTGTATACTGATAGTGAGAGGAAGCGGGCCGGATAGAGATGAGGGTGAGAGCGAGATGGCGAAAGAGAGACCTCACCAGTCAAGCCACAAAAAGTAATTTTGTAGTGGAGCTAGAAAAAAAAGGAAGGAGAAAAAAGACAAAAAAAAACCAAACTGCGTGCAGGCCTTTCAATAAATGTGAGAATGGAAGGGGGGAGGGACAAACAAAAGTGGTGGGGGGAAGGTAGGTGAGGAGGGTGGGGGGTGTCCCAGGCCAGACAGTAAATGAAGTTTTCGTAGAGTTGTTGTTGGCCCGGCAATGTTGTTGCCTTTATTGGTTTTCCTTTTACTGCCTCGCATTTTTTTTTTGTATTTGAATTCTTTTTCTTTCGTTTGTTGTTGTTGTTGTGCAGCTTTATATATTTTATTCCAACCGTTCAGATACAGATACGCTGAATATGCAACTTTGTATGGGACATTAGATACAGAGAATTGGTTTTTGGTCCACAAAACATAAACACACACAGAAAATGTTGACAAAAATGGGAAAATAATGGAAAATGAATTTAAAGTTCAGTGTTTAATTTTATAAGGAATTTACAGAGTCTCAGGAAAATTAGAAAACAATTTTTACTTGTGAAAAAACGTTTACGAAACTTAAACAAGACTTTAAAGTTTCCTAGAATATAATATAAGTTTGATGCAAACTATTTTCAAAGTGCTTTTCATATCTTAAACTATTTGTGTTTGTACTTTAGCCTTTTTTTTAATACCTTTGTGTAGTATTGGTGGCGATTTTCAGGTTGTGTGTGTGCCTAATGCATTTTCACTCTCTTTTGGAGTGGTTTTCTGAGTGGATGTGGGTGGATTTCTTTAGATTTATTTCTTTAGTGATGATGTAGGCTGCTGATGGGTTTCTTGAGGGCTCTCAAATGCTCTTGGTAACAATGAAAAATATATAATTTCATCGGTTCCACATGGCCTTAAATATATTTCGATATGTTTGTATGTTGGTTTGGTTTCCATTCATCGAATCAGTTCTCCAATCAATGTTACAAATTGAGGTTACCCAACCAACATGTTCTTCGTTCTCTTCAATTCCCTTTTTCCAATTTTTCGTCGCTTTGTGCATTTTTCGTGCTGATTCGTCGTTTAATGGGCTTCGCTTAAAATCGAATCAACCCAGGGACGCACATGTATGACTCTTTATACAGAGGTCACTCGATAGAGAGAACCCATGAAGATCAAGGATGTTAACGTACATTATGTGGCTTTATCGGGACTAGCAAAAAGGTTACATAAGTTAATAGAAATGGTACTATTTTTGATGAGATTGTAAGGAAACAGGTACAGCTTAAAACTTAAATAAATAGTTTCCTTTTTTAAATTATTTATTTTGTGTATACTACAGTTTCTTCTTTCAAGCGGCAACTGTATAATATACAAAGCCATTCCCCACCAATTTCCCCCCTTCTTTTTCGTTTTGGCCAATTTTTTGGGCGCTGTTTTTCCAGCACGCATGACGCGCGCATTTTTCGTGCTGTTCCAGTTTAAGCTTTAAGTTCTCGTCGGCACATAAATCGATAAATGTTTGCTTAATTCTTTTTCCTTTTTGCTGGCTGCCGCCGTGGCCACACCTTTTACGTATATAGCAGGATGCAAACTGCTTTTTATTTTTCTGTTCGTTTTCTGTTTTTTGTTGTTTTGCTCTAGATTTTCCTGCGCTGCCTGATTTTCTGGCAAGGAAAAGCCAAAAGCTGCAAAACATGTGTTCGAAAGCGAAGCCAAGACAAACTGGCGTCGCCTGTCAGAGTGAAAAAGTCTTGTAGAAAACAAAAAACAATATAAAATAAGCTACAAAAACGGGGTTTCGGTCGAATGGACCTTTCTAGGGTTAAAAAGGAGTTGCAGTGATGGGGGAAAACTAATAAAATGAATTTTCCTGCTGTCTGCCAAAAGGGATTT